ATCTGATCAAATTTCTCAAGAGGCGGAATGTGATGAGGATAAGAATGTACCATTCGAAAAATGGTGTGCTCCTGCGGACTTTAGCTCAGATTTTGATGATCCGTCATTAAAAAAAAACGCATGAGTTATGAGGAGTTAGAAAAATCGCTATATACTACTCTCCAGTCTAAGGCTGAAATAAATGATCTTTGTGAAAAGTTGCAAATACGTTATGAAAAGCTACTCGAATATATCTCTTCCGGAGATGAAAGTAATAATAAACAAAAGATAAATTAAGTAGCTAATAGGCGAGTCATATTCGTTTTATTTTTCTCATCTCTTTTGGACTCTCGTTCGTATAATGCATCAAGATCCTCACTACTTATCTTTTCTGTCTCATTAGAGTTATTAGTAGGTATCGCATCAGACATACGAGAGCGGAGCTCATTATTACATAATACAGATTTAGACCGAGATTTGGAACTTTTCTTTTTTATTTCTGTATTGAGAGGAGTAGATTCTGGATATAAAGTCTCTCTTCCTATTCGATTAAAATTTTCAGATGGAGTTGATGTGACTAGTGTAGGCTCTTTAAGGCATTGTTCTGCAATAGATATAGGTAATATTTCGGTGGAAATGGTACTTTGTATTATTTGTTGTTGGCGCTCTCGATCTTCCCATATATCATCTACTCGATGTTCATTAATATGGAAATCTCTCATAATTCTATACTTAGGTACCTTATCTTTGAGCGATCTAATTATTTCTATCTGCTCAGAAGTTAGATATGTAGATTTTCGACGATAATATGATTTTAGAAATGGTGCATTCATGGTTTGATTTTTATCCAATATTTAAAATGATATTTAATATTTTAGAATAATAAAAAATGATATCTATTATTATAGTACAATAAAAAATAACATCTATCATTATAGATGAATATGAAATATTAACGTAAACAAGCCTTCAGCTAATAATACTAATACAAAGTACTAGGCTCGAAGAGCCATTGCTCCGCAATAGAAACCAAAATAAAAAATTAATATATAACCTAACTCAACAATATCTAATATATTTTTTTAATAGTCTAGGTTATCTAACATTAAATATCGTTATATAATAATAGAATTATTAGCGATATTAGTTTTATTAACATCTGTATATTATCTATTATTTAGTGGAGTAAATGCAAGGTGCTAATATGGCTAATGTATATACATTACAAAATATTAAAGGCCATCGACTTGGTAGTATACGTGAAGAGCTGGAAAAAAAAATACACGATGCTATCAAATCCAAAGCTGAAATTAATAATCTTAGTGAGAAATTACAGGATAAATATATAAAGCGAGTGAAGGCTTTTGATCGAGAAAGAAAGGGGTGGAATCGGGATTCATTACGAAATAATACTGAAATTCAAAAATTACGTACCCACGCTTTACAAGTTATTAATGAGAATAAACAATTACAAAATGAAAATACTAACCTTATTTCTCATAATGCACAAAAGGATATTTTTATTGCTGAATCCAAGGCTGAGAATGTTACAAAATCCAAGAAAATTAGATCACTTGAATCTATGATCAAGATATTGGAAGGTAAGTTGGCATCGGCTCAGAAGGACGTAATCTCAACTCAGAAAGACTCAGTAAAAAAAGAATCCGAGATATTAACCCTTAAATCTGAATTGGCATCTAAAGTTAATGAGTTGGAGCATTTAAAATCAGAGGCTAAATCGAAACCCGTAATTGGTGGAGATGACGAAAAAAATACGCAGAGCGAGGAACAAAGTTCCATAACCAAGTCTGATGATATATCTACAGTATTGCAAAACAGACAGTTAGGCGATTCTTCAAATCATGACACTCACGTGTCTAGTGAGGAATCAGAGATTCGAGGCTATGCCTCATCCAGTAAAGATCTCAGACAATATTTTCTGTGCAGAAAAAATGATACCGAGATTATTCCCAAGGTAATTGATGAAATCGATATTAGTAAAAATAACAACAATATACTCCAAGAAATACCGAATGTGACTCCATACCTTGCACAGCCAGAAAATGATACACACTCTTTGATTAGATCACATCCTCAGATTTTGATGGGAGGAGTAGAAGCGATTCCTGTTATGGCGAGCACTTTGATGTCACTGCTATCGGCATATATGTTACTTGCTTTGTTGATTATTGCAGTTATGTGGTTCGTGGTATTGAGACGTACATGGGGATTGAAGAGGAAAAGTGAGCGGTTGCGAGATGCATGGGCTGGATAACCAAGACTATCTATTTGAACTTGGATATTATTTATGTACGAAAAAATTTAATTCTATTGTATAGGTATCTTAGTAGAGTATGATATGATATACATGGGATGTTTAGAAAAAGAACATATCTCAAAATAATTCATACAAATTATATAACTCGCATTCTATTTCATCAATAATACCACTAAGCGAAAAAATGAGTTCTTTATTAGTTCCAAAGTTCAAATTGAAATAAACTAATTTAAATGTAATACATAACAGATAATGATAGTTATATAAGTATTATTTAGTTTATGCTGGGACTTGTTCTTATAATAAGAGCATTTCTAACACCCATTTTATTTTTTTTTATTATTCAAATGTTTTTTAATTTCGCTTTTTAATTTCCCCCCTTCATCAGTAAGTTCTCGTACTCTATTTTCTGCTTTTTTTTTTAAATCTTTAGGCCAGGTTGAAGTATCTGTAATTCCCCAGGTGTATAGATTAACATCAACAATATTTTTTTTTTTGCCCCAAATCAGCTAATTTTTTGGCTTGTTCGTTAAGGAGGGCAAGTTCCTTCATCTCTTTTTCTATTTTTTTTTGATAATCTAATTAAAAGAGATTGATTAGGCGGTTATGCTAATATACTGTAACAATATTAAAGAAAAAAATTACCTGACATATTTACTTTCTGAGAGTGGGAGAATATTTGAAAATAAGTCGAATAGTGTTTCTGATAAATGTAGAAAATGACTTGGATACTGAATGCATTTTTATCCTTTGTGGGTCAAAAACTCCTTTTATAAGGATCAAAAATACTTAATACTACATCTTTATTCTTGATGAGATGTAGATGAGATGTGGCTGAATGATAACGATGCTTTTATTTTGAGCAAATTAATATACTACATCACACATGATACATTGATTAAAAAAACATTAGGAGATTAAAAAAGAAGAAAAGCCCGATATGGGAAAACTTTATTTGATAAGCACATGTAAAGCGCCTCTGACTAATTCATTGACAGACGAAAATAATCTAAAGGGAAGGATTATCAAATATATATTTTTGCATTTCAAATTCTCTCACTGTCTGTCAGTGGAAATCACGTGAATGTGGCGCAGTAACTATGTAATGTGTAATTAATGTAGCTACGAGTCATTATTATTTCTAGCTTTATCTTCAAGTGTTTTCCCAATAGCAAACTGTACGGCACCTGCTCCAGCACCAGCATCGTTGGAAGTGTCATCGTTAGAATACGTAGAACGTAAGCGAGACATTGATATCAATGTTAATGTAATTATAACTTATACAGAGATAATGCAAACAAGGCCTTTTAAATCTGTTTTATCGAAAGTCACACACCTTATCTGCCAGCTAAATGTGGAAAAAGCTCTATCTATGATTGATAAACTGAATAAATTATTATGTACAAAAAAAAGTGCCTGTTACTACCAATATTGCTATTTCAGAAGAAGCAAAGTTTCGATGCTCTGCGTCATCTAGTATAAGAAAGTTCTTGCAATAGCATAGTTGAAAAATCTGAGACAAATTTATCACAATTGCCCTCTATAGTATCAACTCAAGATCAAACTAATAATTCTGAGCAATTCTTAAGCATTACTGAAGCTAAGAAAGAGTTACCTGAATCCTTAATTTCTCTATCTTCAGGGTTTCTCATTAAAAGTGAATCTGATATAGATACTCTTATCCTTCTTTTACAGCGAAAATTTCAAATGTCTCAAGAAAAGTTAGAACAATGGAGAACTAAGATTGCCTTTGAAATGTGGGATAATAATAATTATTGGAAAAAAGAGTGCGAGAGTATGAGTGAGGCCGACTTCTTAGAATACAAGCAAAATTTTGAGACTAAGATGGGCGTACCTACTACTCCGCACAAAAAAGAACTGAAAAATAAATCTTTGGCACTCATTGAATATGGATAAATATTGTTTCTAATCTGGAGAAAGAATTCAATAAAGAATAGTATTTCAAAATAATATGTTCTAGTTAGTAGAATACTCTGGCTGGGAGTATATTACTATATTTATCTAGCCATACATTTTGGGTAAAGGGATTTTTGTCACCTCTTACAATAAGTATAAGAAAAAATTCAAATCAAAAATTAATACTCTGATATCTAGATTATATAAAGAGGTTTTTGTGTTGCGTGATTTTGATTGAGATAAATTTCAGGTAAGTGCTTCTGATATATGAGGTACATATTCGATAACCATTTTTGTGTTGCACAATTTAGGTATTAATAAAAATGATACTTTAAGATATGAAAAAAATGATACTCCAAAGTTTTTGATATACGTGGGGTGGCTGAAAAGTAATGAGAAAATAGCTTTATTTCAAAAACTTTATTACAACTTTTAAAAAATTTTAT